TTTGAAAATGATCCAGATTATCATCGAAAAATCATCTTAAGTGATGAGGCTCATTTCTGATTGAATGGTTTCGTCAATTAGACTATTTTCTGTTAGACTATGTCAAATCTGTGCTAACAAGCCAGCGACGATTGATGAACTTCGGACGAATATCGAACGTGAAATTCAGCAGTATCGGCCGATTTATACTTGAAAACTGTCGAAAATTGGGTTCAGCGTCTGGATTTTAGCAAGCGTACCCGTGGTGGCCATGCAGATCTAGTTGTAATAGATCCAAAGATCCAACATATGCACAATGAACTATAATAACATAGATTTTCTATTCACTGGCTTCGGAACTATAAACCTACATTTGGAATCAATATTCTTTATATATATTATAAATCTCATTTTTCCTTCCATACTTGGAATCAAACTAATTGAACTAGCATACAAATAAATTGTAACGACAGTGGCAAGTGCAGACAACTCTTAATCATTTCTTTACCTCGACAATTACGTTGATGAAGTTGATTCCAAGCATAAGAGAGTGAGGAAAAACTCTTGTATGTAGATACAATTTAAGTTTACAAGTGGCATAATCCCATTAAGCAAGATATTATCCCCTCTAATTTAATTTACGACCAGATAAAGTGATCTTTACAGAAGTTCATGCAAAGAACCGAAAAAATATACCTCTCTATGTGACATACTATATCTCGAAAAGATTGCTACCGATAGAAATTTGTACAAAATATCAAGATCTCAAGATAAATTGTATGTACTAAAGCAATTAAGAAGGTCTTACGAGGTTAATAGCAGTTAAAATCAGAAATGTTATGCCGCTACTACACAATAATAAATAGAATATTATTGATACTAAACAACATTTTTCTCTTGTATTTTCTACTCCATTCGAAGCACCGAAAGTAATTCTGAATTGAAATTATTTAACGGTTTTGAAAAATGAGTTAGTTGATGAAATTTTAGGGCTTTTTGTTTGCTAAAAAATTTCAAATCGTCTTCTCATCCCATGTTAACAAAAAACAAGAACAACTAAATTTATAGCCCGTGTGTTCAACTTTCCAATATTTTATTTGGGAGTGTAAAATGTTAATAATTTAACTTGAAATTATGTTGAAAAGTAAACAGTTATAGTGTTTCATAAAGTCACAAGTAATAACGAACCGAAAGCATAGCGTTGAGAATTGTAATTGCGTAAATTCATTTTTGTAAGTAATCCAACAAAAATTAAAAAAAAAACGTATACAAATTTTTGATTTTATGATTTTACGATGTGATATGAGTGCTTTAACAAACTTCGTGGAAATCATAAAACAGGTATCGTTTCAACCAAAAATTCAATAATAACAATAATAAAAGCAAGATAAACTGTTAGAAGTGATATTCAATAGAAATGTTGATGTTGCACTCTGTTTCTAGAAATAATCACACTCTTTGATATACGTGGATTGAATATGTTAATTTATATGTATTTACTTTTAGTAATAWATACATATGTATGTATGTGATGTGATATGTGTGCATGTTGCATATGAATTATTAGCACTGCGTTAAATCAACTTTTAAAACAAGCAATAGATGAATTACAATTTAGTTTCAATTGAAAAAGCTTCGAATGGAAAATCTAGTTTGCAGCAGTTTTATAAATATTGCAACAATTACCTTAAACTTAACAAAAATGGAGTTGAGATACGCATGTAGATCGAGATCTTGTGTTAGTAGAAAACAGGGTTAATTTGAAACCAGAAGGAGTAGGAGAAACCCAAACAACTTTAAGCTGAACAAGACCTTAAATTTACTAATAATTTATTCCTTTTAGAATATGTGTGAGAAAACAATATTTTGGTATTAAAACTAGTTTTGGTTTGCCAATAAATTGTATACAATTAAACATGGGTGATACTGAACCGATTTGAGTATTGAGCATTTTACATGGAATTCGACGAAATTATGAGGAAATAACTGAAAATTGTAAACTATAAATAAACTGAAGTTACATTTTTTATTCTAACGGTGCTCAAGCAACATTCGCTGTCACGCTTAGCTGTCTCACACTGCTGCCAACTGAAATTTTGATTACTGTTTGAATTTACTTAGCGACTGAAAACATGGTAAAATTCATTACTGTAGACTGAAGGTTGAAAAATTGCATTAACGCACATTAATGTCAAACACATAAAATGTTTTCGGATTGAAAATTCTTTTGACCTGATATTTAAAACTGTATACAATTAAAAATTTCATGAGGAAGGCTACTGATACGATTTGAGTATTGTTTTGATTTAGTTATACGAAATATAGCCTAATGGTTTAGAACGAAACAAATAAAATGATCGTTCCCGAAACTATATTATTAATCAGAAAAAATATATAAAATAGAGAATTCCTACAATATGTAGTGATCTCCAATTAGAGAACGATAAGGGCCACACCTAGTGTTGAAAATATTCAAAACATACATTTTTACATATTTCGATAGTCTAATACTAGACGAATCCATGTAGAGGCGTGTCATGCTGCTATGTTATTTTTGTTCAGTATTGATAGACATTTCATCATGGAAAAACTTTTGCCAGCTTCGACAAGCAGACGGCACTTACCACACAACGCATTACTCAATGAATTCAATTGGGCAGCAAAATCGTGTGATATCACACAGTTACACTTTTTCCTGAGAGACTATGTAAAGTTTAAAATCTATGCGGACAAGCTCGCTTCGATGCAGAACTTCAACGAGTCGTCGAAAATTGGACTCAACGGATGGACCATCTGAGACGTAGTCGCCAACATTTGAAAGAGATAATCTTCAAAAAGGAAATGCAACAGTATGTTTTTTCGAATGATAATAATGATGCTCCATTAAATTTGAAGTTTCTGTGTTTTTTCTTTAAGAAAGTAGGGAACCTCCAAATGAATCACCCTTTATTAATATATTTTTAAATGTAATTTTCTCAAACGAAAGCGTTTTTGTTGCAATAATTAATCGGAAACCAACCATACGATTATTTTTAATACAAAAACCTATCAATTTGTTGATCTGGCAGTCCAAAGACAATCAAAATTTTAAGAAATAACGATTATTGATCTTTTCACCTGTAGGTCATGTACAAATAATATCTTCTAAATAGAAATTGGTTTTATCGGTCACATCCGCAAAAAAGACATGAATCAACAGCTTGCAAAAATATTCTCTGGGTTTCATTAAAGTACTACTTCACATACTCTTCGGGCTAAGTCAAGTTTTCGCAAAATTTTTATCTATTTTAGGCACAAAGATATACCATTATAAGTAAGCACGCTGTGTAATTTTCATTGAGACAATTACAATATTGACTGATATATCCAGAATATATAATATAATATATATATATATCATAAAGTCACCCGGATATTTGAAAAACTTTATATTAGGTGTATGGGAGCTAAGGAAAGGATACACAGAATTACTGTTACGAGGAAAGAATTCTTTGTCTGTATTTCACTAGTATATCTCACCCATTGGCCGATATTTTCGGATACTAGAGGCTTAAACAGTTTTAGTTAGATTTGGATAATTTTTAGTTATAAGGTGGTATAGAGAAATTATTAGTGCTAAATTCGATTACATTATATTAATCAGTTTTTGATTTGTAAACTTGAAAGTGAGAGAATGAAATAGAATTTAAAATTGTGTTAAATGGTAGTGTGCGTGGATGTAGTCCGGTTTCTCCTATTTTCAGACTGTGGCATAGGAATATGAGGAGAATGCTACATACTAAATTTAGTCGAACCCAATCAGTCGGGTCCCGAGATATATGTATGTGATTTCATCAAAAATAGAGCGGTGCGTCGCCCACCGTTCAATTTTTACTCCGGCTTATTACAAATTAAGGTTTTATAAATAGTAAAAAGTATGCTTCGGTTTATGGAACTTGCTTATTTTGATTGTGTGAATGTGAATAATTACCGCTGGTAGCCGAAGGCCTTGGCAGCCAGTGCTTTAGTTGTTAAGTGGAATAATTATTTATAATTATTACTCTTGTAAATAAATAAATAAAATTACCGCTGGTGTGTTGTTCCAATTAAAGCGGATTATGGGATTCAATGAGTCCTCTAAAGCTAAGCATTTTCTAATTTTCATTTCATTCCTAAACAACACCGAAAGTAGGTTAGTGTTTCAAACACAATGCTTCGTGACTAAAAGACAAAGTTCGACTTCTCTAGCGAAAACTATTATTCTTATGTCACAATGTTTGTGAGCTTTATGTATTGTACTAGTCATTTGCATCCAATTTATGCTCATATCGTCACCTAAAAAGCAAAACAACGTATAAAAAATATAAATTGAATTTTATATTGCCTGCGATTCACTACATCATATTACATACATGTATCATAAAATTTTCAGCTTAAGCTCYCAGATATATAATCAATAAATAACCAATCCAATGTATAACCAATTTTAACCTAAAMATTAAGTTTTGTTTCAAAAGGAGTGGTTTCTATCTTATCGTTTTTTCTTCGCCTGAAAACTTTTCAAAATTATAGTTGCGTTATTTTGTATTTTAGGTGGNAAAAAAAAAAAAATAATAATAATAATAAAAAAATCGAAAATCGCTATCAGATATAATATACATTTATAACCAAAACTCAAATTTTATTTCAATATGAGTAGTTTGTATTTTAACATTTTTCTTTTGCCTATAAATTTATGAGAAGTGATGCTACGTTATTTTGCATTTTAGGTGGCGATATGGAAATATCCACCCAAACCTTTGAAAATTAAAAATATTGATTAAGGAGGCATCTAATGGGGAAGTAAATAGCTTGAGGTTGCATTAAATACTCAAAATTTTAAGTGGCCTCAAGCTTATAAGAATTTTTGGAAATTTGTTAATGGATTATATGGAAATGATGTGAATGTGTGTGTACACGTATGTGAGTGCTTAAATAACTTGAATTTATATTGTAAGCACATAAAAGTAGTATTTAAAATTTTCCTAGAAAGCTTTACTTACCACAAAGTAGATAGTTTTTCTGTAATAGATGGAAAAATAATATAGTAATTAAGGATTAGTTTTAACAGTTTTTTTTTTTGCATATATGTATTTATAAGAAATGTTAACTTTGTAGTGAAAAATTAGCTAGAAGAGAAGTATTAAGCAAATAAATATTTAAATTAACTATTTTAAACGGATATTTTTAAGGTTCCAAGAACAAAATGCAAATTTCAAATATATAAAAGTGATAAATTTTTAACACATAAAACAAAAGAAAAATTAAACTTTGGCTGCACTTTGGTTCCCTTCAAAGGTTTATTTTTTATAGCAAAAAAATTTAAAAAAATCTTTATCTTGATTTTGAGCGGTCAGTTTGTATGACACGGAGCGGATCTGAACAATTTATTCGGAGATTATAGCGATAGCTTTGACAAAACTCTGCGTCAAATTTCGTGAAGATGCTGTGTCAAATAAAAAAGTTTTCCATACAAGAACTCGAGTTTGATTGACACATATAGCTTTCTTAGTTGCCCAGTATCGGCGATTCCGACAATCGAGCAGCAGTGAAATAAAAACGTGTGCAAAATTTCAGTTCGATTTACTTCAATCCTTTTAACCTTCATACTACAAATGTGTAACCAATTGTAACTACAGTGTTGGCTGCCAGTGCGTATGAGCAACATAAAAAACGTTCGAGAAGGCGTAAGAGCAGAAGCAAAGTCCATACAAAGGAAACAAAATTGAATACTTTTTGTATGAAACCATTAGCATAGTGACTAATCTCTGTACAATGAAAACAACAACAACAATTCAATATCAACTGAAATAAGCATTAACAGAGCAGAAGATTTAATGAAATGAAAGTGCAGGTATAAATGCCGAAGTAGCCTAAAATTGAGTCAAATGTATGCTGCTTTGGCAAAAAATGGGAATTTTTGCTCAATATTTGCGTTTAACATACCATCCATTATGGGGATTAGGTTTCAGAAGTTTATATATATATGTATGTAAATGATTGAGGTTGGGTAAAAAGCTATGAAAAGTATTCTACGAGATCCTCTGTTATTATGAGTTAACTATTTTTTTGCCACCTACAACATCCAAAACCATCATATGAGTACCTAAAAGAATTAACAAAGTTCATATTTACTTTAATAAAAAAATAAAATTAATAGGTAAAAATTCACTTAAAATTACCCACATCAACTGTATGGAAGTAGCAATTTAATCCTGGAGCCACCTAAGTGCGCGTGGCGTATGTGTACATTGTAGAAAGAACTAGAGGAACTTGTATGGAAATAACCTAAAATTGTAAACTGTAAATAAACTGAAGTTAAATTTTCTATTCTAACGGTGCTCGGGCAGCATTGGCTGTCACGCTTAGCTGTCTCACGCTGCTGTCAACTGAAATTTTGATTAGGGTTTGAATTTGCTTAGCGCCTGTAGATATGGGCAAATACAGTACTGAAGACTGACGGTTGAAAAATTACATTAACATTAACGCACATTAATGTCAAACTCATAATATTATTTGAAGCACTGAAAAATGCTATTAATTTTGGGCGGAGTAAAGGCAACACACGAATTTCGGTATTTTTCACATCTGTTCTATTTTGCACTTGATTATAAGAGAAATTTTTTACAGAAGTGGAAGAAAATAATACATACATACATATGTGTACAAATGTTTGTATTGGCTGTGAAAAATAATTATTTTCTTTTCTTCGTTGAAATATTAGCAATTTTCCATTTTCGGAAGCGAAAAAATTTAAGTAATTTCCAGTTTGTCAACTTATCAATAGTATCAGCCAAAAAGAAATGAGTGCAAAAATACAAAAAACATAAGCGCAGTATGTTGGGTTAAGGAATTTAGCTTTTGTTTATTTGCTAGCTCTATTGGAGAATATAAGAATTGCTTATTTTTATGTATATAATAAAATATATCGGAGAAAAAGAGTTCAAGTTCGTTCTAAAACTTGCTACTTGCAAAAAAAAAAAAAAAAAAAAAAAAAAAAAAAAAAAAAAAAAAAAAAAAAAAAAAAAAAAAAAAAAAAAAAAAAAAAAACAGAAATTTGACGATTTGTTGCATTTTTGCAAAATATTACTCATACGCCATGCACACCAATGATACATGCTGTACGATTTCGTTCCAAATATAGTATGGTTGTCATTGGTAATTGAATTGAAATATTATAATTCAAAATGTAGAAATGTGTGGTCTGGCGTTGTTTTGGTGGAACACTACACCCTTCCTGTTGGCCTTGCCTGTTGGCGCTTCTAGTCGCCTGCTTCAAGCGGTCCAGTTGTTCGCAGTTGTTCCAATCTTTCCTTTTCAATCCCACCAAACATATAGCAAAACTTTTTTGGCCATCCCGGCTTGGCCACTGTTTGGGACGATTCACCGGCCTTCAACCACGACCGTTTTCACTTGATATTGTCGTATGTAATCCATTTTTCATCGCCACTCACCATCCGCTTCACAAATGGGTCGCGTTCGTTCCTTTTCAGCAGCATATCGCAGGCGTTGAATCGGTCCAGAAGGTTTTATTGCGTCAAATCATGCGGCGCCCATAAATCAAGCTTTTTTGTGTATCCAGTCTTCTGCAGTTGGTTTAAAATGCTTTGGTGGCTATCTTCCATCTTCTGGGCGATGTCACGAGATGCCAGTCTAACTCGATGTTTTCCATGATTTGATCGGTATTCATTGTCAAAGGTCTTCCACCGACTGGCTTATCCATGGTGTCGTTTTCACCCGCTCTGAATCGTCGAAACCATTCCTCCACAGTTCGATGCGATAGAGTACCATACCTCAAAACATTATTAATCTCACGGAATTGCCTTTAACCAAGGAAAACCTTAAAATAGCGCGAATTTCGGCGTTAGTGAACTCCATGTTGACACGTCTATAACTGTTGAAAGCAATATCTAAACTAATCATGCATAGCGTCGTTTTGTAGGTTATGTCAAGACCTTTGAAAGATATATAGTATTAGTATTATAGTCTGTAGCTCTTTATACATAGCCGTGAAATTCAAAAGACAAAAAGGCGGAAGAGATATATTTGACAACCTAATTTTTTGTAGAGTCTCCAAAGTTTTATACTTTTCTGTGCATAACAAACTTCATGGCAATCTTAATATCTCTTCAAGGTATAAATCATTTTATTCAAAATATAAGGTTACATCTCCTCAAAATTTCGCTCCAAAAGAATATGACACTCCCTTACAAGTCCTATTGATTTTCATCTCTTCACATTTCCTATTTTACTATTGTCTACACAAAGGGAAACAAAGCCCCATTGCAGTTATTACAATTACAAAATGCCGAAGTGGCATTGCGTGCAGCGGAACTCGCACAAATGAGATATTCGATGCATGACTGCACTGCGGTGTAATTAATCATTTCATCGATAGACAGAAACATGTCATCACAACCAGTCAAAGTTAACCAACGACAAATCCCCGCCCACAATTTAGGCAAACTCATTAAATTGACAGGCAAACCTTTGCATATTTATATGTACATATACATAAAAATACGAACAAAAGTGTGTGAAAATACAGTTACCCAGTGGTGAAGGAAGGTTGATTAGTGGAAAATAATGTACGAATCGCTTTAAAGCAAGTTCCATACATTGGCTCAATCTGAAACTTTTGCTGCTAGCTCTATAAGAAGAAGGTAAAGTGGGCTAGAAGAACAAATTCCAAATGTACTAGTGCTCTGATTTATGACGAAACTGAATATTTCCCTTTTCCTTTCCTATGATTATAGAACTTGCGACCACAGTTTTAGACTTCCGCAATCTTTGGCTTTTATCTATTGGCTTCACTTTACCATACGTACCTGTAAGTCGCACGGTTATCCAGAAGCGGAATGCGCGGAGAAATGCGGTTGGAAAACAAAATGAATTCTCTCTCAGCGCATAATATAGCCGCAGGATAACGGTTCAAAATGCACAAGAGGCGAATAGCAAACCAGTCTAGTAAAAAGCAAACTGCTACAAACTGTAGTTATCTTATAYATATATATTAGGTTGTCAAAAAAGTCTTGCGGTATTTTTTATTTATTTTTTATTTTATTTTTTAACGGTTTGATGACTCAGCTCTTGACCGATGCTACGACAGGCCTTCCGGAGCGTGGCGCATCTTCAACCAACTCTACACCAGAACGAAAACGTTGAAATAATCGTTGTGCGGTAGAAATGGAAACTGTATCGGGTCCACAAACTGCACAAATTTTATTGGCGGCTTGAGATGCATTTTTACCTTTATCGTAGTAGTACTGTAAAATATGCCGTATTTTCTCTTTATTTTTCTCCATTTTTGCGACGCTATAACTCACGAACGACTTAGAAGAAACGACAATCAATCAAATACGTCTTAGCGCGTGAATTAAGCTTTCCAAAAAGGTATAGCATGACCCGATGCGACGAATAAAACTAGAACTACGCGCTCTCAGCGCCAACTAGCGAAAATACTTTTTTGACAACCTAATATTTTCTAAAAAATCATGGGAGAAATGTTGAATCACCGACTTCACAAAACTGGTGAAATTGATATCTACATATTTTTGGTATGCAAAGAAAATCATATCAAATCAGATTACATCATATTTATCAAAACAAAGAGAAAAATCTCACCATATAGGTCGGGAAGCAGAATATTCCGATGCACAGTCACTGATCATTTCTTGACTTTGTCGCATACCTAAGGCTTGCAAACCTAAATCTTCTCTTCAGAACCTAAACCTTGCACATGAACTTCAAGCATCACATAACCTGCCGATCCTCAGTTTTTCGGGATCGAAGTGGTGAGTCGTCCCCACATGATTTACATATTTATTGCAAACAAATCGATAACTAATTCGTCCTAAAAGCGTTTTGGATCAATGACATCATACTATTCTATCCTAGGTTATTAAATGCTTTCGAAATTTTGGAAGAAATCCTAAACTGCAGAGAACATTTGACTAAGCGATATATGTATTGTCGAATTAGGTTCGTTTAGACAAATATTTAAGGTATTACACATAAACAGG